CATATGCTTCCATCCTACTTGATAGAAAATCAAAAAATACAATGTGTTGTGACATTTTTTTTTAGCTTTTAACCTTTAACGCAAAAGTGAAGGATGTTAATGTTACGAAGCAGATCCAATCATACGGCACAGCTTTTTAGGGACGTTCTCTTTAATCATATTTTGTCTTTTTCTTTTTTAGCATCAGATTTTATTAAAGTAGTAGTAAAGGTCGTAAAGGAAACACAAGCATACCTAGTAGTACTAGCTCCCAAATTTCATGCACCAATATTACTTGCCAAACTTCATAACATTTCGTTTTATGATTTATGGTATGTTTATTCCATATGTTCAGAATCAATATTGTTGTATTTAACATGATCATATTCACGATTACTCCATGTTCACTTCACTATTAACAAAATTCATTTCTATCATGTTTAAATTCACTTTTCCTTTAAAATATTTATTAGTAGCTTTTCAATAAAAAAAATTAATTTTTAGATTTTATATGCCTATATTTATAATAAAATGCTCAAAATTAATATTAATAACAAGTTTTTAAGTAATATTCAATATAAAAATTAAATTTATTTTGTTTATCATTCAAACAAAAATTATATAACTTTTGACTAACGTTTATTCAAAATAAATTTTATAAATTTACATTGATTAAAAAATAATTATATTAATGTATATCTAAATACAATCAATTTTAATAAAATAAATAAATAAATTGATATTATATACACATATATATATATATATATATAAAGTAATTAGTACAATTTTTTTCATTAAATACAAGGTCTTATCATTTTGATATGTGTTTTCTTTAAATAAGGACATGTTTGGATACATGTTTGAAATCCACATTCAAACAAAAATCAATTTCAAATCAAATTGATGAACAAATTACTCTTTATTATTTATATTAGATGCATAGAAAGAGTGAAAAAACACATTACTACAAACGAAACAAACATGTTAGAAATATCAAAATTGATGTAATAACTTTTTATCATAATTGTTATTTACTTTTTCAAGCTAAATATCATATTTTTAAAACAAATAAAAGTGCTCCCAAATTAATCATATATTTTTTTTTCCAGAAAATAATGTTTGTCAATTATTCTTGAACATATTTTTTTAGATGTCAACAATATCATAACAAATTCATCTAAGCCTAACCATAATAATCGACCTAATGATGAGAGTTAAGATAGTATACACAATATCTTTTACTTTGGATAAAAAAATTCATCAAGGCCTCTTATCAAAATAATATTCTTCTTTTATATTTTTATTAAATTTTAGTCAAAATTTTACTTTTATTTCATATGGAGGATAGTTTGAAAGAACGAATCGATACTATATTTAGAACCTATCTTTTATTTTATAAGAGATTATATCAAATGTTTAGATTTATCGAAAAGTACCTTTCAATAAAAGTTCAAAATGCCTACAACTCCATCGGAATTAAAAAACCTTTGGTTTTCGGTGGGTCACCTAGAGATATTTAAAACTTTCGAGTAAGTGGATTGGTTACACGATTAATTTTCATTTTGAGATTAATCGCGTCACTTAAACCTTTTTTTACTAATAAAAAATTATAATCACTATAAAAATATTTAAATTTAAAATTGTTTATATTATCTCAACCAATCAGAACTAGTTAAAGCTCTTTATTTATTTATAAAGATATAATATATCTAAATGGAACTCAAATCTTTATCCAGAAGTTTGACATGTGTCCATATTCTAATCTTAATATGATTTAAATTTAAATATGTTTTTAATTTTTTTTAAATAAGAGCAGTCTATATAATATAATTTTAAAAAATATTATTTTAATCCCGCGAGTCACCAATAACATATCTGAAAAGCGATAGATTGAGAGAGAGTTATACAACATTAATTTGATTTAATGTATTATTTTCATTAACAGAATAAAGGTAGATTTGTTGTGATATTATTTAATGAATTTCCTGACAAAATTTGAGTATAAAGATTAAAACAAGATTTTTTAAAATTATATGAATTAAAAAAATTAATTTTAAATTTAAGAAACTAAAAATAAAATTACCTAAAATTTGAAAGACTAAAAATATATTTAAATCAATTAATAATTCATGACATACATGGACACATTTTTTTTTTAATTCAAATAAAGTTATATACGATTTTAATTAATAATTTTCTTGCATATATTTCTAAAGCAATATTGAGCAAATAATCACTTTTAAATTTTGATTGCTAGATAATAATAATAATTCATCATTTGTTAGAAAATACTTAAAGACTTACAGGATTAGACACTTAGGCAGATTGTAAACTAAATGAACATTTATAGAAATACTTAAAGATTATATATTGACAACGTATTTACATCAGCGATGATCGAATCCACTTTTTTTTAGATGAGTTTAATTTGTTTCTTACCGACTAGAGTAACATTTTGTTGGCATTTATTTTAATTTCTAAAATAAAATTTTAATTAACATACTTTTTTTACTCCAGAAAAATCTAAAATTAGAGTTTTAGTATTTTAAAATTTACGATTTTCTGAGTTATTGTTGAATTACTTGTAGTAAAATGTGGTTGGATAAGAGCAATGGCCGGTGGCAGCTACTAGAGATATGGTTAATATGAGGTTATGGAACTTAGTTTGTCCATTGTATAGTGTTGCTGATAGTGATAAAGACAGTGGGAAGCAAAAACGTCATCAAGACTTTCACCCAGTAATGTGTGAGAAGGAGAAGGTGACGGACGGAATCTTCTTCCCATACTTGTGTTCGAGGGGGTAAAGAACCTTTATATGGGAGCTTCAGGCCTTCAGCTACATAATGTGTGAGAAGAAGTTAACAGGTGGTAGCACGGCTGTAAGTGGGTTGAGTTTGATCGGATTTAAATAAACTTGTTATCTTATTCAATTAAAATTTAACGGGTTGAATTTGTGCAATTTTTTTAAAAATTCAACTTAACTCAAATTGGATTAGATTAATCATGTCAATATAATTAAACTTTTCTTTATAAAAATTTAAATATTTTAAAATAAATGTAAATCATTTTATATATTATTACAAATATAATGTTATCAACTTATAAAATAAACAATAATACAAATTTAATTCTAAAATAAATATATTAATTTGTTATATTGTTATCAACTAAAAAAATTAATATTAATTAATACAAAATAAATTTTAAAATAAATATATTATAGTGTTACCATTCTACCAACCTAAAACACAAAATTTCTTACTAAGTAATAGTGATAATGAATATTATCCTTGATTATCTAAACATTATTATTATTATTATTATTATTATTATTATTATTATTATTATTATTATTATTAAATATGATCGGATTGAGTTGGATAACGGGTTAAAAATACAAAATCTGTTTACCCGACCTGTATATTGACGAATTTCGGTCGGATTGAGTTAGATCTAATCCGAACATTAAAAAAATTTGATTCAAACTCATTAAATTAATTTAGGTCAGTTCGAATTTACAGATTACCCGTACCTGCTTACACCTCTAGGTGGTGGTAACTATTGATAGGATTAACAGTTATGTTAGAAAAAAGTGATGGCTTGTAATTTTATTACTAGTTTTTATTTTATTTTTTTATGAAAGCAATCTTTTAATTTAAGTTGTTTGTTATAAATTGTTTTCAAGTTTTTCTCATTTAAAATATCATTTTATTAAATTATATTTTTGAGAAATACTTTTAGTGAGAAAAGAAGGTGAAATCATATTTTCTTTTAATTTAAATATTAAATTACAAGAATAACTCTCAAATAAATTCATTAAAAAAATTATAATTTTTTTTCTTAAAATTTTGAGTAAATTGCTAATGTATTTTTGTTTTAAAAAAAAGTAGAAGTATATTATCAATCTCTTTATATAATAATTTATAATTAAAAATTTTAACTAGTATATATAATTATTAATAATAATATATCGAATACTTAGATCCATTAACCTATTCGAATCTATATGCTTATTAATATTTTTTTTATGAAGTTTGTATAAAATAGACCACATAAACAAGATTTTAGGTTAATTTAGACTCTTAAATAAGTTAGAACCTTAGAAAAGGTATTTGACACGTAAATGAATTATATTTAAACTTAGCAACTTTGTTATAGGTTAGGTCTATGCTTTTCAAAGTCTAATCTAATAACACACTTAATTACAATGAAGATAAAGATCAAAATTAAGTCATAACGAATTTACTCTGACTGGTCATCCTAATTTTTGAATTACAAACTTTTATTATTGTTTAAATTAATTAAAAAAACTAAAAAAAAGTGTTACAAATTGTGTCGATAGCATTTCACTATAACAAGTGTCATAACAATCGATGTTAACAATACAAAAGCAACGATTTTTTTTATACATATATATAATTGATTTTGAGGGTTGATTGCATCTGTCTAGTAATTGAATTTCAATTGAAATGAATTTTACATTTTGAACAATATTGTATAATTATGTATGTTTGATAAATGTGAAAACAAATGAAGAAAAAATCAAAAATAAAAAAAAAACGACTAAAATAAGCTATTAAGTTAAGTACAAAAATTAAACTTCGAATTTTACATGAATTAAAATGAAAGTTTGAATTTTATGACAACTAAAATCAAACTTTCAAAAGTTATAGATATACTAAACGTAAACTTTAAATTGTATAGAGACTAAAGTTAGACTTTGAAATTTATTTTACGGATAAAAAAAAGCGTCTGTCACATGAAAAAAAATGTGGATGTTACGTCACCCAAGATGTCTTGGCATTGTAGTATCATTAGTTGTTTTAACGGAGTAAGTGAATAGAGTTTAATGTGACTGTTTTTTAAATGGAGCACTCGAAATCAACGATTTTATAAAGAGAAACTAAAAACAAGCTTGTGTATATTTATAGGGACTAATGAATCTCTAATTTGAATAGTTAGAGAAGATTTAAGAGTTTTTAAAGTTTGGAAAAGAGAAATTAATCAAGTGTAGAGTGTAGAGTGTAGAAAAATAGAAGGCGATAAAAGTGATGATGAAAGCATGGGTGAATTGGAGTTTTACATGAAAGATTTAATTTCATTACGACCTAATCATTATTCATAAATTACCCCGCACGGCCCAGAGATTCACATTCATCATTATTATTAGTTATTACCCTTCTTCTTCTTCTTCTTCTTCTTCTTCCAGCCCCTCCTTCTCTATCAAATTCTTCAACTTGGCTTTCACTTTTTTTACAAACCTCTCCATTACTGTACACTGCAATACACGTTATTACCCTTAGGCCTTAACTCCACTCTTCTGAACAGTACCACTGCAGCGTTGGCGCTTGTTCATCCGCGAAGAAATTGCACGCCTCGTCCGCACTCAGAAAATTCTGCTCCTCATCCTCATCCTCCATCTTCACGTACTGCTTCTGAAACTGGAAGCAGTTCATCAGGCTCTCACTTTGCAGAACCCCGCATGACGAATTGTTGTTCTCATCGTTCAGGATCGCGCTAGAGTCGCTTTCCGAAGAACCGTCTTTCAAAACCGAACCTTCACTCTTATTCAAACACTCATTACTCAACTCCTTCGTCTCCGATCCAGGAATGGGGGTTTCACAAAACGCCACAGTTACCATCTCTTCCTTCACCGAACCATCGCTTTCGGTGTTCTCCCCCTCCCCCCTCGATTTCAACTCCTTAATCTGCCAACACAAAAGGGAATTCACCATTCAATAACCCATCCTCAAATACATGATAAAAATCACTTTTTTTTTTCTTTTTTTTTTTCCCTTGGATTATAAAACTGTACCTCTTTGAGTAACGCTTCGTTGTCTTGTTGGAGGGTGTCGAAGCTAAGTTTAAGCGTTTCATATTTGGCTTTGAGAACTCCATAGTCTCTTTCCAATTGCTTTGTTTTCCACCTGGCACGACGGTTTTGGAACCAAACCGCTACTTGTCGTGGTTGCAAGCCAAGCTCTTGCGCCAGCTTAACTTTTCTGTCAGGTTCGAGTTTGTTCTCTACTTCGAAGTTCTTCTCCAAGGCCTTAACCTGATCCACGCTTAGTCTTCGTTTCTTCTCAGCGTGGTGCCCTGGTTCCTCCACGCACCCTTCTTCGTCGAGTCCTTCAAGCATGGACTGAAACTCCCTGCCATACACGTGGTTGTTCCTCGGACTATGTTCGTCTACGCAAACCAGACATAATAATGGTTAGTGTGACTATTCTTGTCTCTTGGAACAAAAGCACAAAGCATAATTGAACGTGATGAGTTGTAATGCAATATAGAAAGGGAAAAAAAAAAAAAAAGGACGGAATCAAAGATAAGGTAAAATAGAAAGGTTTGAGTAAGTGGCAACAAAAAAGGTTGAGACTTGAGAGTTGAGAGTTGAGACAAGACAAAGAACAAACATGCATGATGGATCTGTCTGAAATTTAAAACATAGAAACAAAGTTTGAATTGAATTAACCTGTTGGAGGACAAATCGTGATGAGAGCACCGAGAGAATCGGAGCTGGCAAGTCTCTTCATGAGTGAAAAAGAACGGATCTTATTAGATGAAGGAAGTTAAAATTGATCCCTTTATTGTTTGTGAATGTGAATTAAGATCTCAGGAAGAAAAGCAGTGAGAAGGAGTGTGTTTTTTGTTTAGTGTTGTTTTCACTTAAAAGGAGGCATTGAATAGGAATTGGGGTGTCTTAAAGAGCGCCAATTAGCAGAGGAAGTAGTAGTACTATAGAAGCACTCATGTCCATTAACTCCCATGGGTAGTTCCTTCTTGTCTCTTGACACCTCTTCCCCCTCTTCACCCATCAACACAAAGAACAAAAGCAAGCCACTGAAGAGAATGACCAATCTCTTTGTTTCTCACTGCAAAACACACTGGTCGCTTTTTATTCTCTATCTACATCAGCAGAGAAGGGGAAATGGAAATGGAAATGGAAATGGGAAAAGAATGAGAGTGAGGAGAAGAAGAGATGGGTGAACAAGTTCACAGGCCTGGTTAGAAGTGAGTTTGTGTCTTTAAATAAACCAAGGTGGGTTAGAATCTGACTGGGGTTAGGTGACTGCTACTGCGGTTGCCTTGCCTGTGAATTGTGAAATGAACCCAAATTCAACCCAAATGCAACTTTTTTGGGTACCGGGATAGCCGGTAGCGCTTCAGTTTTTTCGACCGTTTCCTCGAAGAGATGAATATGGAAACGGCGTGGCTTTCGGCAGCTTGCGTCCACTATTTAAGCCGGCTTAAGGTTTGCGTTACGTCACCGTAGTAATAATACTACTATCTACTATCTACTGTCACGCGCTTCTCTAACACCACATACACAACGCGCCTTTATCATTTTCACTAATATATTTTATTTCTATAAACATTACTTTCCTTTTTAAATTTACACTGTTTTCCAGTATTTTTAAATTCAGATCCATTGTCGACTCTATCAATGTAAACCGTCTCTAAGTTAAAACTAATGAATTACATGGATTAATATAAATAAAATATATATGTATAATAATACTTGTCAAATATATATGGCATAATAGTCTTATATATACTCTAAATTTTATTATATTTTACTTCAAAATATAATCAAAGGCACTCAATTATCAATATGCAAATACGCGTTATTTACTGTGTATTTCGTAAAGGAAAAAAAATAAATGAGAAATAGAGTGTAGAAAAATTTTATATAAAAAAATGAGTGAAAAATAAGTAATTAAGAAATAAAGTAGTGATCAAAGAGAAATAGATGAGAAATATGTGAAAAATAAGATATGTATAAAAGAGATGAGAGAAAAATAAATAAATAAGAGAGTGGGTCCACCACTTTTTAATTTCTGACTTTCTTATTTCTTCTCAATTAAACAACTTCATTTATTTTTACTTTCTTCAACTTATTTTTACTTATTTTTTCTAAACTAAATAAGATATTAATGTTAATAACAACATGCGTCTCACTAACATTGTCTTTTATTATTAGTGGAGTTTTTTTTTTGTTAGTTCAAATCAATATATTTTTAATAAATTAATACCATTTTTTTAATTTAATCATATCAATGATGTTCGAATGAATCCTAATTTTAATATTGAAAAAATAAGATGAAAATGTAAGAAATAGATAAGAAATAAAAGTTAAAAGAGTGTTAGTTTGCTTATGCAAAACTTGTCGATGTTATTAAATAAAATTCACAATTAATATAAAGTTATTAAACATACTTAATAAAAGTTACATCGATATTATTATAACCTCCCCTATATATATATATATATATATATATATATATAATTTGACTCCTATGAACAAAACCAAATTAATTATCTCATTAAATAAATAAATAAATAATAAATATATTATTATTATTATTATAATATTTGGTTGTGTGGTGTTTGGTCCATTACTAGAAAAATGTTATTTTTCTGCGAATTTTTTTGTAAAAAAATATAGGCAGAAAGTTTTTACGAATTTTCCTGTAAAAAAATATTCCCAGAATTTTTTTGCGAATTTTCCTGCAAAAAAATATTCGCATAAATTTTTTGCGAATTTATTTGCGAAAAATAATTTACAGATATTTCTTACAAATTTTGTTACAATTTTAAAGATCATATAAATTTTTTTTCAAGGTTAAAATTTGCAGAAAATATTGTAAGAATTTTATTTTATTTCTTGCAGATTTTCTTGTAAAAATAAATTCGCAAGTAATGTTTACTAAATGGTAAAAAAAATTGCAGGTAACTTTTCCTGCGGATTTTCCTGCAAATTTTAATTCGCAGGAAAAATAAAAAAAAATATTTAAATTTATAAGTTTAATATTTAAAAAAAAACTTCAAGTCCCACATCGATTGAAAATAAAATAATTAAAGAATATATAAGTTGGGACAACACTTACCTTACAAGTTGATTTGTATGGTTGAGTGTTAGGCTTATAATCTATAATCTTATAATTTAAAAGATTATGTATCACATGTAAGGATGGCAAAAGTACCCGCACCCAGGTATCTGTGGGTAAAATCCGCTACAAATAATAAATAGATAGACTAATTGGATACCCGCAGATAATATTTTATCCGTTTATAAACGAGGTGGGGGTGGGTATGATGATATTCATACTCGCGGGTACCCGTTTAATAATATTTCTTAAATATCTTAATTATCCTTGTACCACATAACCCTAAAACTACACACTATCATCTTATTTTCTTTCCATAGCCACACAACACACACATTAGTCATCACAATAAGATTTATGTATTTTAAGTTGTTTATTTTCATTTGGATGAGATTGAATTATTGTAGATTTCTGATATGAGACTTTCACTTGTGAGATTGATGTATTTTAAGTTATTGATTATCTTACATTTTTATTATTATTTCAACAAAATTAACATTAAACAGAAGTTTAAAATTAACATTAAATTTTTATTTTTAATATTTCAATGACATTAAATATAAATTTAAATTATTTCTAATATAATTTTTTTAATTTCTTAAAAAATTTATAAATATCCATGGATATCCGTGGGTATCCGTGAGTATTCAAAAAATTAATGGATACCCGCTTAATGGATACTCGCACAAATATGGGGTGGGTATGAGACAAATTTTCATCCCGTGGAGCAGGGACGAGTTTATTATTACCCGCCCCTATGGGGCCCATTGCCATCCTTAATCACATGTTGGAGGTATGGAAACAAATGCTTCAGATGAATTCATTGTGAACATTTAAAAGTTGAAGAATTATTGGTAGAATTTATAGTAATTTCTTTAATTTTTTTCGTAAAAAATATTCCTGCAGTATTTCCTGTGAAAAATTTTGCAGGAAACTTTCCTGTGAATTTCTCTTGCAAAAAATTTTGCGGGAAAATTTGCTGCGAATTTTAAAATTCGCAAAAATATATTATCCACGAAGGTATTACCTGCAGATAAAATTTCACAGAAGAATTTGTAAGAACAACGTTTCCTGCGAATTTTTCATAAAAATTCGTAAGAAAAGTCACATGTAATAAGAGAAATTCTAGTAATGATCGTTACTGAACAAAATTTGTTGATTGACAAATTTAAGTTTTAATTGAATGGTCTTAATTTTTTTTAAAAATTTATAATAAGAAGATTATACGTAATATATTTTTTCAGTTTCAAAATAACTATAATTTTAACATTTAAAAAATAACCAATGACCAAAAGCCACTACATGTACCTTTTCCATTTGAGGGTTCAGCAACAAAGTAAAAAAATTTGCTCTTTCACATATTTAGGTCCTTTTGTGTGTTTGTTTGTTTATTTATTTGTTTGTTGAGATTGGGACAATAAAAACTTTTTATCTAGAACTTTGCTCTCTTTCATGAATTTCTATCATTTCATCCAAATTGTGGAGGTTCGTCAAGAAGAAGCGTAAGGAGGAAGGAGAAGAAGCTAGGGGGAGGAGAAGAGGCTGCGAGAGTGAGTAGATTGGCACCAACAACAATGAGTTGAGTGAGCGAAGAAGATGATGTTAAAGGTATATATATATATAAGTCAATTAAATCGTTTTAAATTTGAAATTGAATCGCATCATTTAAAAAAAAAAACATAATCAATTTGAGAAAAAAATCGAATCATATTATTTACGTAAAATAGATTTTAAAAATCAAATGTGTGAATAATTAAGTTCCATGCACTAGTGCACCATTTTTTAAATAATGATATAAAATTAATTAAAAATAATTTACTAATCTCTTGTATCTCATAATTTAATAATTTATTAAATATTTAAGTATTACTTATGATTATGTGTTTTTGTTTTTACTTTTCTAACTTCTTAATAGTGTTAATTATCAAATGATGTTTTATAATTAATTTTTTACATGATAATTATTGAGTTCTTAAAATGAATTCAAAATTGGTTTGGTACTAAAATTGATAATTACTTATAAAAATGATTTGATTCTGAATTGATTTATTAATTTGGTTTAAATAGTTTATAAATTGATTCATGTTAATAATTTGGTATGATTTTTTTATAAAAACCGAATCATGCACAGCACACTCGTATATGATGTGATGTTATTGTAAATACATTTTTTTTCCTTCATATTTTACATCTATTATTTTTTAACTATTGTAAAAAATCAGTTGTTTCTACGTTGGTCTTATCTACGGCAATTCCAAAACACACATAAAAGGTCTAAATTAACGTACGTAGTTCACAGTATTTCTCTCACTAGTGTATGCGTCTTTTTGAGTCCACTTCTACATGAAATTGGAGGCTTCTTTCTTGCAAGAGGTTAATGAGCACCCAAACTGACAAGTGAGAACAAGCCTTCGCAGGGTTCAATGTTCATGCTTAATTACAAGCAAACTCAATTTCTGTAGCAAACCATCATAGCACCACAAGTCCACAACTAACCAGATCGGGTAGGGGTAGTACTGTAATAGTAGATAAATTATACTAAAATTAAAAGTTCGCTTGAATTGAATTCTGCATTAGTTTTGACGATAAATAATTTTGCTTTCAGATTATTAAAAAATATTAGTAGAAAAGAATGAAAGAGTCTATTATGTCGTAATAAAATTATTGTCCTAAAAATAAATTTTTAATAAAATTCTGATGTAACTTGATAATTGATTTGCTCTTCAAGATTTATAAAACAATGTATTTAAATTAGTGCACTCAAAGTCAAATACGTTAGAGTCTCATAAATAATATCTAAAACAATAAAAAATGTGAAAGAAAATTAAAAAAAAATAATCATCTCTCTTGAGACTTATTGTCTTTATTTATAATATCGAGAAAATTAATCTATTATCAATTAATAAATAAATATTTGTAGTATTAATGATAATAAAAATAATTAATATGTACATGATAACATTGAAATAATTAGTATTTATAATTGTTGGATTCTTATATGATTATCTGTTATTTGGACCATTTAGCTGGCAAAAAATATCTCATATTCAGCTCTAAAATAATTTTTATTTCTGAAATGCTAAATCTGGTACAATTACGCTCATGGAGATGGTT